CTTCCGTTATAGACGTGTAAACATGGAGTTCACTAACGCCGAAATTCGCGCTATTGTAAAGTTTTCCTTCGTTAAAGGCAAATCCGCTAGAGAAAAGTTCCGTGAGATTAATGGTGTTTTGGGGGATGGTACTCTATCACTTCGAGCCGCGGAGGAATGGTTTCGACGATTCAGAACCGGTGAAAACGATACCATGGATAAGCCAGCCGGCGGAAGACCTGTGACGACAAATACCGATCAAATCATGGAATAAATCGAGTTAGACCGGCAATGGCATCTGGTGACATCGCTCAGGTGATGGGAATTAGTCACCAAACCATTTTGAACCATCTGCAGAAGGCTGGATACAAAAAAAGTTTGATGTTTGGGTGCCGCATAATTTGACGCAAAAAAACCTTCTGGACCGAATCAACGCCTGCGATATGCTGCTGAAACGGAACGAACTCGACCCATTCTTGAAGCGGATGGTGACTGGCGACGAAAAATGGATCGCATACGACAATATCAAGCGAAAACGGTCGTGGTCGAAGGCCGGTGAATCGTCCCAAACGGTGGCCAAGCCGGGATTGACGGCCAGGAAGGTTGTGCTGTGTGTTTGGTGGGATTGGAAGGGAATCATCCGCTATGAGCTGCTTCCATATGGCCAGACGCTTAATTCTACCATCTACTGCGAACAACTGGACCGCTTGAAGCAGACGATCGACCAGAAGCGTCCAGAATTGGCCAACAGGAAGGGTGTAGTGTTCCACCAGGACAACGCCAGACCACACACACTTCGTTGATGACTCGTCAGAAGCTACGGGAGATCGGATGGGAGGCTTTATTGCATCCACCACATAGACGTAGCGCCAAGTGATTACCACCTGTTCCTGTCCATGGCGAAAAGTAACTGTCCGAATTCTTCGCAAAAAAGGAGGGGGGCTTCTACGAGAAAGGTATTATGAAGTTGCCGTCTAGATGGAAACAGATCATCCAACAAAACGGCGCATATTTTAACTAATTCCGATCACTGTAACACTTTTTATAAAGCATTGAATGAAGAGCAAAAAAGCGGAAGGGAGATATTATATGTATAAAATAACAAAAAATTATTATTTTCTGACCAATATTTTTTATCTTAAGTAAATCTCGAAAACTAGTTATCAACAACTAAGCAAAATATTTGAAAAACCAATAAATAATCAAAAAAAATTTTTGTTATTAAATAACTCATAATGATTACCTACGCTTTGATTGCAGTACTACGCCTAAAAGTATTCATCAAATGGTTGTTTATAAGCACTGTAAATACCAAACAATAACCCAGCAGATAAAACCGATAGTCTAGCAAATAATTATCATAGAAGACTAGAATTTTTGTTATTATTCCTCTGCACAACACTTTGAAAATTAAAAAAAAAAAACCTACTTTAATATTTTTCAACTTTTTCCAGCAAATAATTTAATTATAAAATTATATTCGTATTTAACTAATTGAATGCAAGAACAGTCCACAGAAAATAGATTACTTACTATATTTATATTGAGTATATTGATTTTTGAATGAAGGTCTGAACATGGGTTCCGACCATGTACGGCTACTAAGCTTCATTGAGTTCAGCATCCATTCATCTTTGAGCAAAACTAACAAATCGAAAATTAAACGAAGATGTTGGAAAACACTCTATTCGAATGTTTTAAAATTTATAACTAAATTATTTTTTTTCGTTTCTAATATACCTTGGCGCAATAGTTGGTAAATTCAGCCTGATTTAGGCTGATCGACTTCGCGGGAGCACTATGTAATACCATATTCCGTGGGCATATTTCTCATATGAAATAAGGAGAGCTGGTACGATAAGTTTTGTTACACCGCAGTGAAAGAAAAACAGACTGCCTACTTAAAAGGTTGCGATGGAACGCACGTGCCTTGTGGTGCAGATACCGAAAGACGAAGGCTAAAACTAGACGCATTAACAAAGATAAAAATAAATGTTTAGTATGGTAAGCTTGAGCAGCTGACCGACTAAGGCAATGATCGAAAATTTTACGAGTAGTTCGACGAAAAATATTTCAAGACCGCAGCATACCCATATAGGAACCATGACTGTGATCTAAGGACCTATAATCAGAGTGAAGGTGAAGTAGTTTAATATCCCAACAGATAAATAAATATATATGACGAATTACTATTTTCAGGGTTTTGATACTGGTACGACCAACATCCAAAAGTTATAGAAAATTAATTTAAATTTTCTAATTGCGGTCGCCCCTCGGCAGGGAATACCAAACCTTGCGAGTGTATTGTATGTATTTCTGACATGATATAAAGGCTTCGGAGGCAGCTTAGTATAAACTGTAGTTCTCTCCATTTGCTGGAAAAAACGTCAAGACGCAAAACTACAAATTGGAGGAGGAGCGCGGTGGAAAAGCGCTTCAGCGATTACAAATCTATATATATTAATATATTATTAATGAGTGTACTCAATGGATTGGGTGGAGCCACTGCCTTTCAACCAACCGAACAAACAAACCTTCATTAACGGACAACAGCTCTATTTGTTTTGAAATCGGAAAATTTAAATCTCATTCCACTGATGGTCATGGTCATGGCTCACTAATTTTATTGACAATTAAATAGATAAATTTTCCTGATAAAACGAAAAATATTACTGTTGAACAAATACCAGTTCTGACTTTATTACGATGATAGTAGACTTGCTAGAAATATTTAGTAAATATTTTCATTGTAGTTTTGTAATTGATTTAAAATCTGCTCCGTTTTAGATTCAGATTTCCAATTTTTTTTCTAGCACTTATTTATATGAATATAAATAAAGGGTATTCCATTAAGAGGTGTTATTTTGAATAGGCTGCTATTCCGGTAGATTTTACTTTTAAGGGGCACATCTAGTTTAATGGCTTAAAAAAGGTGATTTTTGAGAATTTTTAATAAAAAAAAAATTCTTTATCAATTATTTCAAAATTTCAAAAAATATATTTATATGTGTTTCAAGAATATAAAGTGAAATTTTTGAGGAAAAAATTAAATATTTTTGAAGTTATAGTTGATCTCCAATGGCGCGAAAAAAGAGTCCTTCACTAATGCAGTGATTGCGACTTTCTTCGCGGACGAAATCTAAAGAAAAAATTTTAGTTAATATAATATTGTCTGTACAATGACTTTCAATAAAAACAAAAATCAAAAATTGACAATATGGCGGTGTTTTAAAAAAAATAGTCGAATTTTACCCAAAACTTTCGTCGTTTTTGGCCTGCCAAAATTCGATTTTTTGATCAGATCAAAAATCGATTGGTCATTATACGGAGAACTATATATAGAACATGTAAAAAAAATTCGATAGTGATCGGATCATTTGTTTTTGAGTAATCTCTGCAGCAAATTCGGAAGATGCTGTTTCGAGAAAAACGCGTTTCAAGATAAAATGATCGTTTTCACTCGTAGCTAATGAGACTCTGTAGCTGCCGAGCGGCTGCTCTTTAAATTGCTATAACTCAAAAACTATTTGAGATATCAAATTGAAATTTTAATATGTTATTTTTAAGGGTGTAGTCTACCGAAAAGATGAATTTTGTTGAAATTTCATACTAGATGTGCGCCTTAAAGCGGTAACTATTGCCATTGGAGTTACTAAAACTTTATACAAATATGGCGAAAACCTTACAGAGACGGTTCGTGAGACTAAAACATTTTTAGGTCATCGTGAAGCTGCCTATCGGACCTCAATATAGAAATACGTGGAGCTGTTGGAGCAAGTAAGTGATGTAAAGAATAACACACGTTCAAGTAGCTGAAGAACAACTGAGATTATTGCTGCTCTGGCCCAAAATGTTGAGGAAACCCCAGGCCTGTTAAGTCCCTGTAGTTCTTTGACATTGGGCATTTCACAAACGTCGCTTTAAGTCTTATAAACACAAGAACTCAAGCCAGCAGATCATCAACAATGTTGCGTTTTTGCTGATTGGGAACTTGAAATGCATGAAAATGATACGGAATTTCCTTGAAGAAACATATTGACTGAAGAGGCCTCTTTCCATCTCGTTGGCTGTGTCAATATGCAAAACTGTCGCATTTGGGGCACGGAAAGCCTAAGATTTATCGTTAAAAAAGCCAACGTGTAACTGTTTGGTGCGTTTTATGTTACGGCGGGGTCATTGGGCCCTACTATTTCGAAAGTGAGGCTGGAGCAATAGCTACGGTGAATGCATTGCCCTATATAGAGACGATTTTTTATGTCCCGAATAGGATGATATGTATGTTGATAACTTTTACTTACAACAAGACGGCGCTACGTGTCATACAAACAACTAAACCATTGATCTTTTAATGAAAAATTTCCGGACCCTGTTATCGCTTGAAGAGTTGAGTGCAATCGCCCACCGAGATCTTGTGATTTAACACCTTCGAACTTCGTCTTTTGAGGCTACGGGAAAGGCAAGGCCTACGCCAATAGGCCAATGTCGATTCCAGACCTCAAAGGTGGAAATCGTCAAACTATTGACGGCATACAGCAGTCACTTTGCGATTTGGTGATGCAAAATTTCTTAAAAAGGGTACAGTGCTGTGAGCGTAGCCGTGGCGGCATTTGGCTGCTAATGTTTTTCATTTTTAATGGCACATTTTGCTCTCTACAATGAAATAGACATCCAATCTTTTATCTCAAAAAGTGCAATTTTTCTTTGAATAGCAAAAAAATCTCTCATTGGAAAACCCTGTATACATAAGCATACTTACGTATAAAAAATAATAACAATTTACAAGCGTTTATCTATGACGTGCAACAACTGCAAAACTAAAATAATCACCTTCATTGATTGTTGTACAAAAACTAGTACATAAAACCCTCGGCGCAGAAAACCACTCATCAATGCGAAAAAACAAAATTGCGGAAATCGTTTTACAAATACTAATAATATTTCCCACAAACAATAGCACTCCTCTGGAATATATCTCCACAATTAACCAAGCAGCGGCTTGTGCGGCACTGCGGCGTAATGAAATGGCGACATCATTCCTGTGGCCACCTCCATTCAGAAGAAATAACGATGACGCAGAGGGGGTGTACGATAAGGCAAGTGAACAGCGTTCACACTGGACAACGGTAAGTAGTTGTTGTTGTAGTAGGCGTGCAAAGAGCCAATCTGATTAGGACCAACAATTGATGAGTCTTCTTTCAAATTACTGCGCCAACGCTATCGCCTCGGCAAACAAAGACAGACTGGTTGGAGAGACATAAATACGCCGTAGAATTGCACAACATCACCACGGCCGACGGGTATGAGCTGATGTTGCATCGCATACCCAAGCCAGGCCAGCAACCAATATTGCTAGTGCACGGCCTGCTAACGTCATCACTCGCTTGGGTGTTACAAGGACCGGGAAAGAGCTTAGGTTAGTGTAAAGTGTTGTTGTGACATATTTGCAAAGCTTCTTACAATTGTCACCTACACGTAATTATACACACACACATATGATACAATATATATATATATGTATACATATTAATGTCTCTCCCTATGCTGTTCTTATGGCAATCACCACACACACACACACACACACACCCATACACATATACTCGTATGTAGCCTTTCTGCTCGCCGACCGGAACTATGATGTTTGGCTAGCGAATTTGCGTGGCTCACCATATGCCCGTAGTCACACGCAACTCAGCACCAAAAGCGTCGACTATTGGAGTTTCAGCTTCCACGAAATGGGCGCCTATGATCTGCCCGCCATAATGGATCACATTGGAAATGCCACATCCTTCCAGCCGTTGCTGCTAATTGGACATTCACAGGTGTAGTAATTGTGTTTAGTCTCAATTGTCAATGGAGTGGTGGTGGTGTATATTTGTTTATTTGTATATATGTATTGTATTTGTGTATGTGTGTGTGTGGGTGTGTGCTAACACCTTGTCCTTTTCACCTACATACATATGTACATATATACTTTTACTCCTCCGGAAACATTTGATTTTGGCTACACATCTACACACCATTTCTGTTAGGATATATGCACATGTATGCATGTGGATGTGTATTCGTATATGAGCGTGTTGTCTTTAACACTTATAAATGCCTGTATGCATTCTTTGTTTTGCTGCTTTTAGGCGCTTAATGCATTTCTAGTGCTTTGTTCCATGCACCCGGAATACAATGAACGCATTCAGCTGATGCAAGCCTTGGCCCCGATTGTGCAGCTGCACGAATTAGTGCGTTTCAAATCGGATGATGTGCGTCGGATTATGCGCTTTGTGAAGGTGAGTGTTTTGGGGGTGATATCAATGGCATGACATAAATACGGTATGTGCTCTAATGATATATGCTCTACGATTAAGGCTGTCTTTTACAGTTATTTGGTGAACTTGACAAGGTGGAAGGTGCAAAAACTTTCAGATTCTCTCAATCTTTTGCTTCATTATGAATTCCATTACTCCCTAGTCTTCCCGCGAATCAAATTATTTAGTGGATGGTCCAAATTTCTTAGAGAAAGACAATTATAAAAAAGATTTTCTGTTTGGTGCTCTTACATATATTGGCTTCAAAAACTTTTACTATCCTTAAGAAAAATACGACTTAAGCGATTTCAGCCGAGTTCACAATGGCGCGCCAGTCCTTTCTTCTTCTTCTGCTGTTCAGCTCCAATTGCAAACACCAAGTGAAGCCAAGTTCTTCTCAATCGGTTATTTCCGTAATCCGCTAGGGAGTACTGCACTGAATTCTCTCAAAGCTGTAGTGCTTTCATCCAACCGGCCAAACTAATATAGCCGCTTTCTTTTATTTCGCTGAATTGGTTCATTAATTTCTAAATTTGGTAACCCCACGAAACTTATACGGCTATGTAAACCACCCCTACTATTTAATAATAAAATAAAGCTAATAGATCTGGTTGTGGCCAAGATGAGATATCCCTTGTTGTAGGACAAAAAGTTCGCCCGTATTCGTCCGGGTCTCCACGCCACTGTTGGCACTTTGAATTGGGTAGGCAACTTAAAAGTAAAGTCCTTTTTTCGTGACTCCGCTTTGTCCAAGAGATTTAATCAATAGGTTGATGTAACACTATAAAATAGTCCTTTCGAAATGCCTACGTAACTCGGTACTGCCTCTAAAACACACGTTATGCACAATATAGAGTTAGTATATAAGGAGTATAAAAAGGATATTCCTAAAATAAAGAGAGGGTCGTAAAAGAAGTTCTGCGACAACTTATAACAAGCAGAACTAGTTAAGAAGTTACCACCGGATAAGCCTAGTATAGTACCACAGAAAGTACCATTACATCCAATCCAGTTCTGTTCAGTGGAAGATCGCTATAGCCCAACAACGGCTCGAAAACAATCAAATTCCCAGTAGAAGAAAGCATTTTTCCAACTATGATCTAAAAGGTTTCAACTATGCTGACAGTACACCAACTGAAAATATACCCTGGGTGTTTAAGATACTCGTTGAAGAGAGGGTTAACCACACCGCAGTGGAGCAAAATATATTCTCCCTCTTCGAATAAATACAGATCCGTGAGATTAACCCACTTCCTTCTGTGGGCAATCGAAAAAATTTCTTGACGCTGAGATTTCACAATATTTATAAATATAGAAAGCACCCTGAAGCACAAGTAATTCGTTCTGGAGTCTTTTTTTATGGAGCCTTCCTAACGAAGCAATAGTGAATAGTCAGCAATCAATGGATGTAGAATCTGTTGTCTCGCTCTGGATAATAAGTCTGCTGAGTTGCAGAAGAGTAAGTACGGAATACAACCTAACTTGAGAGGCAAACAGGACTCCACAGTGGGACGTGGTCTTACTGCGGGTTCGTAGAAAAACTAGGTACGTGAATGTTGCTGGCCACCATAAGTAGCGTGTGGGGGCTCGCTCTATCAACCACAAATCATTGCGGTACTCTAGCCAACTTGGAGATAGATGCAGATCAAATGGACATGGTACATTAAAGCCTCTGAAGCTGGACGGAGTGGAACTAGTATCACGCATAAAGTGTGAATAGGACACTGTTATGGGAATGGCGGAGAGAGAGCGAAGAGTTCAGTAATATCGTGTTATTCTCCCCATCGTTAGGTTGATGAGACCGCACGTCAGATCATCAACTTGTCTATAACCTCGTTTGGAACTGAGCGACTCGAAAACTCAATTCAGATAGCGCTGTTAGAGCCTTTCAGTCTCAGTGTATTATAATTAGCGCTTTTGTAACGGCTGAAGTAATTTTCGGCCGAGCTGAGCTTTTGCTCCAATTCGTGATATGCCTCTTGATGTTCTCCAACAAATGGAAGCACCTGCTATTTGTTTTAAACTGCTTCCCAATGGCCGACTATTTCTTTTATATCATCTCACGGCTGGCTTGACATTCCCTGCAGCGGGGCGGCCACAAAGGGAAAATTTAATTTTCAATAATTTTGAACCAAGACCCTGCGACTCAGAATGACAGTACGCAATCCAAGCCACTCGGTTACTGCCGTCGCCTCAGTTTACTCAAACTAAAAAATGATGAAGTGATTTTCGTTTGGGCTCTTTTTTCAATTTGTTTTAGTCGCCCAGGTGGAGCTGGTAACCAAAATAAATAACGAAAATATTTTTATTTCATTGCAGGCAAAAGTCAAAGCAGATTCACATGAAGTCTTTCCAGCCGGCTATCTGCGTAAGAAATGTTTAAAGAGCGATTCCGAAAAACGCAAAGAGTGCTTAAAAACTATGAAAACTGTTGCGGGTAATGGCCGATATTCGAAGGTAAGCGCTACACGTCTACTGTGTGTTCTTTTGTAACCCACTCAAAAAAATAACAACGCCGGTCGGTTCACAGTCCATTGAGCCGATCCTCTATGGTCAACTTTTACAGGGTGGATCGCTGAAAGAAATCAAACATCTACAACAAATATGGGATTCAGGCGATTTCGTTGCCTTCGATTATGGCGTTGAGGGTAATCGCAAATATTACAACTCTGTTGAACCATACAATTATAACCTGAGTCTGGTTACGGCGCCAATATTACTCTACTTCGGCGAAAGTGATGCCATTGCAACGCCCGAAGGCGTACACAGCATTTACTCACGTCTATTGAATGCGGTTGTCGGTGTCTATCGCATAACCGCTGAAAAATTTAATCATTTCGATTTTCTATGTGCGAATGATGTCAAAACACTGGTCAACGATAGAGTGATCACGCTGATGGAGCAACATTTGGCCGGTAAATTGCCCTACGTAATTGAATGAGACGGCTGTAAGACACAATGAAGGCATGAATGATGTGTAAAAATTTTGGTCTATTTGTTTGTCAACAAGTTTTATAATGATAATAAAATTATCTTATATCTTAGTGCGCACGAACTGCGTTTGAGCTCAAAAATAAGAAATACCCTGTTGAACATGAGATGGTAAGTTTCGGTGCAAGTTTTTAAGCACGTGAGGTGAGAAGAGATTTCTTCCGATCGCTTCAAATGATTAAACTGCTCGTCAGACTGATTGAACTTAGTCCGTGAGCTTTTGAAATACTTTACAAATATGCCGGGCTCGAGCTCGGAGGAGCTCCAATTAAAGCCAGATCAATTGTACAAAAGTTTTTCTCAATACAGTCAACCCTCGACAAAAAATGTCAACTCCTCGAGATTTATTTGTGATATGAAGAAAATTTCTTTTCACAGAGTTCTATCAGCCGTTCGGAGGTGCAAAATAAGAGCAAAGCACAAACCGCAAATTGGAGGAGGAGCTCAACCAAATATCGAGGCTGTTACCTACATTATAACATAGCTGCGAGAACCGTTAGCTTGCCGGCTGAACTATTTGTAAATTATGGAGAATAACACACGAGGTGTACAACGAGAGCATGCCCGTTGTTTTAAACCTAATGTTTCTTTACCATATCCCATCCATAAGAAAGGGGACCCCTCGTAAATTATCATAATACAAGTCTTACCATTATCCCATATGAGACTCTTTCTAAACTTATCGATCCTTATTAGATCTATCATTGACCAGATGTTCACAATGCGCCAAATCAGATTCCACTCAAGGCGGGCAATAAATCGTCATATTAAGAGAATTCGGGTTTATCATCACTTTTACTGCCATTGAATAGATGGAACCCCTGTTATCAGGTTAATTCCGATAAATTGGAGTCGATTCAAAAACAATTTTTACTTTTTGCGTTAAGAGTTTTCCGAAGGAACTCTAAGATAAATCTTCACTCCTATACCAACTGCTCGCAAGTCCTAGAGAAATCTTAGGCGCATTGTTCGTAGTAAGACTTCGTAGCGGATCCATCTATAGCTCATGGCTCTTATCTGACGTAAACTTCAATGTTCCAACTCGTGTATCTCGCCAAGTTTGGGCTTTACTATTAAAGTCATGTAAAATAAACTATGAATTAAATGAAACCTTTCGCCGATTGTGTCACAATTTTAATTTTCATTCCAGCACCATCGATCTCTCAGCCCCACTTCTTAGCACCCAAACAGCTTGTCTTACTTCTATCAACAATTAAATTTTAAAATACCATAATTACTAAATTCCCGCTGCTGAGATATTATGTTTTCTGTAGCGGAACAGTTCTAAGACTCGACGCTTAACAAACGCTTTCCAATCATGACTCGGTATATTCCGTACGTTATGCGGATGTCGCCTCTCGTATCGGTTGTGTGGGTGAAGGGTATTCGTTGGGCTTAGCATTATGAAAGTATCCGCTCCTTAAACTTAGTATGTTCTGTACAAGAGTTGCTAGATCTCTACTCTGGTTCATAGATTAGTATGCTCCGGCTCGGAAACCTTCTGTAAGTCGCCGTATCTCCGAATAGAAACTTCGAACAGTACTCTCAGACAGTCGGGCAACTTGTGGAACTCTTCATACTCAGCACAACAGCGAAAGAACTACGATAAGTGGGAAAAAATATCATCTGTCGTCACACAAGCACTCAGTCCACTCGAAACTTAACTCACACATCGTAGATGAATTAAATAAGTTTTCTTTCATGAAAGGTATAAAGAGTGTGGCATAGTGCTTCTTGCTTCTTGCTTCTTGCTTCTTTTCTTTTCATTTATGTATATTTGTTTCAAATTTTCTGTGAGACAAAATTGTGGATTTATTTATTCAAATTACATAACACTTTAGCCAAAACAAGCGTTGTCATTCACGCTTATAAAAAGTAACGGAAAATAACAAGCTTTGGCTTACTTTCTTTCTATTTCGCTTCGCTTATGCTCTTCACAGTTGTTGTTAATAAGAAATGAGAGGTAATAAGAAATGAGAAAGAAATGCTTTCGATGACAATTGGACAGTCTAGTATCTTTCATGAACAGAGACAAATTAAATTTTATTATTATTTTTGCAATAGACGACTGTATCTGCTCTGTATGTCGGGTTCTATAAGTGTCATTGGATTACGCAAGATGGCGTTAGAAAGATGATATTTTCTACTAGAAAAGAGAAGGAGGGAAGTGTTGATCATACATCGCCGTAGTGTTTGAGCGCATGTCAAAGTTGGACACCAGCTATGCGGAAATTTTTCTTCGACAAAGGCGAAAACGCGATTGCGGCAGCTGACGATGAACGACTTCCCTACGGCCAAACTTTGAATTTGCATCTGTACTGTCAGCAACTGGACCATCTGAAGAAAGAAATCACCCACAAGCAACCAGCGTAGGAATACAGTATGTTAAACGTGTTTCATCAGCATAATGCCAGACCACAAACATGGGTATAGACTCGCCAGAGTATAAAACCTTAATACTCTTTAGGTTCCGTTCAAAGCTTCCCGAAGACCAGTGTTCAAGTACTGCTCCGATCAACATCCAAAATAATTAAAAAATAATAATTTTTCTAACTGCATTCGCCTCTCGACAGGGAATGTCAACCCTACCGAGTACATTTCTTACAGTAAATAAAAGTTCCTCACAAAAATTCTTGAGCCTTTCAGATGCTGCTCATAATAAACGGAAGGTCCTTCCATTTGTTAATGAAACATCAAAACGCTTATCATGAATTGGATGAGCAGCACGGCCGAAAATCATTTCAGCGGCTACAAAGCACCAATTAAATATATTACGACCATAAAGTTTTCGGAAATTGTCATTTAAACTGCATATTTTTCAGCGTTTTTTTTTTGTTAAGTTGGCAACATCGTCCTTAATTACTATGCCAAAAATGAGCGCGATCTGTCAACTAGTTAGCTTGCAACAGCTGCTGAAATCAGTCGACCTCAGTTTGGACTCAATCGAGTCTAAACGGGTTGCACAGAGTAATAACTTGAGTTTTGGAAACAAAAAAGTCGCATGGGACTAAATCCGGTGATTACGGTAGTTGATTGAAGGTCATCATTTTTGGAGCTTTGTAAAAGCTGAAGCGATTTTCGACGGAGCTCCTCATCCAATGGAGTGACTTACAGTTTTATACTAAGCCACCTCCGAACGGCTGATGGTTTTTTTTCACGATGAGGAATTTTCCATAACTTTTGGATGTTGATGACACCGGAATATGAGCCCGAACCTTGCGAATTTCAGTACGCAATGCTAACCACTCGGCTATCGCGACCGCTGATCGATGATATTTAACGAGTTTTTGGTCTTAAAAAAGGGAAATGAAATGGCGCATTATCGTCATGATCTAATAGTTACCGTGCAATACTTGGGACTTTACCGTCGTCACTCTAGCCTTCTTACTCAGTTGATTTAAACCGAATTCTTCAAATTATGCTTCGATTCATCACTAATAAAACAGTCATACATTTTTCAGCTGTTCAGTTAAGAAGTAATACCAGATATTTTGGTATGAGTTCGCTTCTCTGGCCAAGGAATCAGCTCCAATAATCGAAAAGTGTGAATAATGGACCACTTAGGTTACATAGAAATTTCCAAAAACTAGAATAATGAGTGCCACAAACGTAGATATCCCAAGAGGTTAACGATACCAATCTGTTCCTTCTTCTTATTTTTTACTGGTGTTGATGACGCCAACGCGATAAAAACCGAGTTAACCATAGCGCACATTTCATTACTTCGTTTCGCTGTTGGGCGCGAATTAGAAGTACCAAGTAGCCAGACATGTCATTCTCCCTTTGGTCTTTTTAACAGAGTGGAAGTATTCCTCTTTCCAAGCTACCACCGGCGGATGTGGCATTGAAAACTTTCAAAGCTGGAGTAATCTCATAAATCCGAACTGCGTGACCTAACCAACGTATCCAAACCTATTACTAATCCGGCCGCACAGTAAAATTCTTAAGAGATCGTACCCAATACTGTATGTATGTATATATGTATGTATATGTTTATACATGCAATTGATCAATATGTATGTCGGTGATTAATGAAAATCTTATATTTTTTGGCAATCCAGACGACTTATTCAGAGTGTCTTTTAATGCGTAAAATGCAAATCTGGCGCACTTTCTTCGCACTTGCATTTCTTGTGTGCCAAATGCATGGGTGAAAATGTATTGTACTTAACATACATAAATACATATGTACATATGCCGCTCTTTGCAATCCGTATGCCATAATTAAACTAAATAAAAAAAGACTCGTTAATGAGGAGAAATTTTAATCACAAATTTCAGCAGTCTCAAAAATCAATACAGTGCAATAAAAAAAACAAACATTTCAAAATTACAAGAAATATCAAAAAAAAAAAAAAAACTTAAAAAACAACTCACTCGCAGAGAATTAAAAATTTCAAGTGCAAAATGTAATCTTCGCGGCGACGCGACGCGACTAAAAAGACTTCAATTTGCTGTAGGTGCGCGCTACCAACACGCCCTCAACGACAACACAGTCAGCCAAAATAAATCAAAAAAAAAAAAAAAAAAAAAAAGAAACTGTCAGCTTTTGGCCGATATTTTTGGCAGCGCATCAAAAGTGACCTAACGGTGCGCGCAACGATCATTTCAGCGGCTTTGGAACTGTTTGGCTTTTACCGTTTTTATTTTGATTTACTCTTCCGACTGCTTTTCAAATTTGTTATTGTTATTGGTATTGTGCTTTTTTCGGTTCATTTTTTGTATTTATTTTCTTCCCAACCACTGCCGCCGCTTTGGTCGATTTCGCAGCTGGAGGTGAAACGCATTTAAAAAACATAGCGCGACTCGAGCACACGTCCGACGCACGCAGTTCCACCAAAAGCGACGACGGTTACTGCCGATTGCCGAGAATAGTTAAATAGAAACGGTTAAGCGCGCTGCTGATTTTGTAATAGATAGTGCATGTGTGTTTGTGTTTGTGTGTGTGTGTATGTGTTTGTGGTGATTTCATTTTCACTTTCGTTGGTTCGAAAAAATTACTTTGCTGATTAAAATATTAATAAATTAATTATATTTATTTATGTGTATGTGCAACTGTGTTTCCAAAAATTGTGTCTAAAAGAGTTGTGTAAAATAAAATTGTTGTTGTTGGTGTGATCATAATCAATTGCACAATAATAGTGTTCTAAATCTTTTTGAGCAAATTCTTCTGTGTAAATTTGGTTGCCTTCAATAGTTCAAGTTCGTCTCACTTCGCACCGATTCTTCCTTGCCCGATAAATGCGTCCGCTACAAAATTTTTCCAGCTTTCTGCTGCTGATCTTTATCATAATAATATGTCTGAAAATTTACCACAGTCACGCTCAATTCGATATCGAAACCGATCCAGATGATGAGGAGGATGAAAGTGTTGAGGATGAAACGCCTGAAGAGAAGGCGGCGCGTAAGAGCATTCAAGAGGACTCCAATCTAACTGTGGTAAGTGAATATCTACTACAAAGTGATCAGCCTATCTTGAATCATCCGAAATCTCAAGCATATTATTGAGCTCACTCAATAGTACCTGTAAAGAACATGTTTCGTTGATGCTTTGTTTGGGATGGAAGATTTGTCTGGCTGCGAGCGGTCGCATTCAAATCATTGAATACATTCATTATTCCATATTCTGCAAAGAAACTGATGCGTCACCTCCCAGCGCGGGTAATTCCAATTCGAGCTTCATCACAGAAGGCATCACAGACAGCTATTCCAGCTTCATTGATTAGGGTTTCGTATTCGCCATCTCCGAATATTTTTCCTTCACTATAATTAATTAAGCTGGAGAAGTGTGTCCCTCATAAACTCAAAACTATATCCGGTTACTAGTCACCAGTTTATTTCTTTGGTTTATAAATCTGCATATCCCGTTTATGAAACCCTCCTGGGAATTAATCCTCTCGAAAAACTTTGCAAGCGCCTCTCAACTTTCGATATCTCTCCACATAATGTATAGTGTAGTCGAACGCAACATTGTCTCCACCACCTTGGGGTATAACATCTTCTTTCGACCTTATTTCTTTAACGGCTGTACGTAGAGCGTCGCCCCACAGTTCCCTTAAACGGAATTATTGAAGACTGTACGCACATCAGGGAGAGCAGAGGAATGTCTTTCATCTATCACAGTAAATGAGTTTTGTCCAAAAGGCTGAATTTTCCAATTATCTTACCCACTCTGTTTGAGATCGTAAATCGTAGACAATGTGATGTCCCAAAGACTCTTTAAAGACATCCTAGATAGCATTATCCTTCTCTTCTATCATAGCGTAGACTCAAATCAGCGAGCCAAATCAGATGTCTCTTACCCAGTGTGTGTCTAATATCGAATTTGCGCTCCTTACTTGAGCCGCTAACCTAAAGCCCACCTCTTGTCCTATCTTCCACCTCAATTCTTGGAAAACGGTTATGTCAGCTTTTTAAAGTTTTCTTTTTGGATCTAATTTGATGGTGGTCGCTTCCACGTCCTGCGTACTACCTCTCAGCGCGACTCGATGTCTCACCGCATTTTCAGAAATAAGACAAATTATACAAATATTAGCTTTCCATTTTGTTTTTTTTTTTCTTCCTGGTGCAAATGCTACTGTGACTTTTTTTTCTCACAACTCGGTCAAATTAGTGGCTTTCCGTAAATCGTAAGTTTCATTACCTACTATGTTACCTTGTCTGGGCATCTATTCCTGTATGGCCATTACTTTAAGTGATCTCCGAAAATTCTTTGCCTTAGCTAATTTATTGTGCCATAACTTTTTGTGCACCAAAAAGAGTATAAATAAGAGTACAATTTGCTGAGAGTACCCTTGAAGCTGGAAAATGTATAGTCTAATGTCTGGCCGTCAATCTTGCTTAAAAAAAACTATACTCTATATGAAGGACTGGCTTACACCGCGCTCTCAGTTGGTTCACCTTGCAATCTCCCGTGAAGTCAGTGATGCCTGATGTGGTAGTCCATCATATTAGGTGGTACTGGAACAGTCTTAAAATATTGCCATGACCATCGCTCATCAGTTTCGATTCAAAGTTCTGCTTGGGTCTTACCGTAGACATTATACAACACCAAAATGTCATTAGAGATTAGCTCCAAGAGAACATCATTGGCCTCAGGGTGTGGACTACAGTGCTAAACTAATCCATAATAATACTGCATTCAGCACTTATCTATCAGATGATAATTAACACATTACTCTCACTGCAATACCAATAGTCACTTTTGAAATAAACATACTCGTCTGTACATATATAAATACTAACATATTGTCATTTCTCAAATTTTCCACACTTTGCCTTGCTTTCAAACACCCATCTTACCAACAACATCAATCAACTTATGCATAATTGTGCTGCCGGCAATCGGGATTGTGTTGCTCATCTCACATCATACTCATGTGACTGTCATATTTGTTTGCCTTTGCTGGTCCATCAACTAGGATAAATTAATTGCTAAATATGGCTATCCGGCGGAAGTGCATCATGTCACCACCGAAGATGGTTACATACTGACCATGCATCGCATCCGACGACAAGGAGCTCAGCCATTCTTCTTGCAACACGGACTCGTCGACAGCTCGGCCGGTTATGTTATAATGGGACCAAATATCAGTCTGGGTAAGTGAAAATCTACAAGTTACAAACAATACAACGAATGTACAGAAATGTACATATATTGTGTGTATATATAAAAAAAACTACAAATATTCGACTTTAGCGGTTCATCAACACTAACCCATTATGGTGAGTACTAGTTCCCGGCTTTGACTATTGCTCGTGCGTAAGTTTTACTAAAAACCTTCATTAGGCGACTTAGATCCTTGCTCTAGCGACTTATCATGTGAGAAAGAAGTCGATCGTCATGATCCATGATCCATTGATAGCTGTTCTGCGTCTTCTTAAAAGAAATCTACCTGGTTAGATCTGGTATCAGTTTAAAGTTTGCTTTTGCAAACACAATCTTTAGTAGACCAGAATTTCTAGAGCGAACAACATCTGATATTTCGTTAGTAAGGTTAGTTTAGATTGGATTAGGTTATGGTGGCAAGCGATCCATCGCACCGATTACATTTAGGCCTGAACAAGACATATTGTGTTGCCACAAAAACTTGGCCTTTTTTTCTTTATACAACCATTTAGGTGCTCTAATGAACCTCAATAAATCCATTACTTTGATTTAGGTTATCTTTAATAAGCCATCCAGCAGTATTGTTGCAAAATTTCGAAACCTGGCACTGTGCAAACTAGAACAGTCACTTAAAATAAGGGTGAAAGCTAGAACTCTACATGCCGCGCTATCAGACAGAGCCTTGTGAGATCTTTTTACTTTGGATTTAGCTCCCTATATTTGCTCGGGATCTTTTCTAATTCCATTCCTTATGCCAATTTACCTGAACTCGCTTCAGTTTATGGTTTCATTCGACCTTGACGCAGCCTGTTCATATCTAAATTCCTTGAGAAGCAGTTTGCAAGTGGCCAACGGCGTAACAATGCGTTTTTTATTGAGCAGAATTCGCTCGTATCTAGTCTCGCATAATCATCCGCTTTACAGCTTCTCCTGTAGGTAATGCATTAAATCATTAGTCTCGTGTCGTCCATTGGCACCGTCAAAACTACTGGGAAGTGTTTAAGTTTGCCTAAGTACATACGTACATATAATATATCTACTACAAGTTGCATATTTATGTATGTATGTGTGTACATGTGAACCACAAAGCACAGGCTTAACTGCACTATTAAGCTACTACTGTTTGTTGTTCGGTTTTGTTGTTAGAGATGCTGTTGTTAAGCGACATTAAGTGCAACGGTTGATGTGCTAATAATATCCCTCAAGTTCTTGTTGTTATTGTTATGGTACTTGTTGTTGTCAAGCCATCTGTTTCCGAGGCTTGTATCCTTCAAAGTCTGATTGTTCCATTTTTTGTTGTTTTTGTTTTTGTTGGTATTTAGTCAGCATTGTTTTATGGTAAACCACTACATTCATAGCTTGGTGCTCTTATGTACTTACATACATATATATTGATGAATACGTACACCCGAGAGCTTACCTAATGGTGTACTCATAATCCATTTCTAAGCTGTAACAGCAACTGGTCCTCTATTAGCTGTTAGAGAATATATAGATAATATACTCCACAAGGATCAAAGAGTATGAAATAATTTAAATTGTGAATAGTCCGAAAGGATTCAAGGTGCCTTTGCTCAAGGAAATCATAGTGCTTCTTAACAAAAATGTTTTAAAATTCTTGCTCTTATAATATTGGAAAATAAATGGTTAGCAATAAGCTGGTTTGTAGACATGAGCTGGTTAAATTTTGTACTACAGTAGCATTTTGCTGAACTCCAATATTATGTAAATAGACCACATAATCCGAGGAGACATACCACCTTTTGCATTAACATCTGTCGCTGTTCATAAATGTTTAAATACAACAATATGGAATAATTGCCGACATTGTACAATTAATTAAATGGAAATTATTGCAATAATCCCATTTACACTTGTGAAGATTTCACTTGGCACATGTCGACAGATTTTGCATAAAGGCAAAAGCTCTCAGCTACACATTTAAGACAGGAGTGTGTGGCCGAAATTGATTATTTTATACAATTATATTTAATTTGTCATTTTTACTTTATTTAAATTTCATTATTTTATATTATTTTATTACAATTAATTTAATTGTACATTATTTTTATTTCAATATTCTATTATCTTCTATTTTATTTTAATTTATTTTATTTTATTTTATTTTATTTTATTTTATTTTATTTTATTTTATTTTATTTTATTTTATTTTATTTTATTTTATTTTTATTTTTTATTTTTTATTTTATTTTATTTTATTTTATTTTGTTTTATTTTGATTTATTATATTAATTTTGTTTAATTTTGCATTTTTTTCTTTTTATTTTTGTCCTATTAAGCTTTATTTAATTTAATTTATGGTTTTTTTTTTTTGGTAATCTATCTATTTTTATTCAATTTTATTTTTCTTTATTTAATTTAATATATTTTTATTTTGTTGTATTTTATTTTATTTTTATATCTTTCCTTTTTTATATAACTTATTTTGTGTTATTTTATTTTTATTATATATTATTTATCATACTTTGTTTTATTTTAATTTATTTTATTTCCAGCTTATCTTCTTTCCGATTATAAATACGACGTGTGGCTCGGCAACGCTCGTGGCAATCGGTATTCACGCAATCATACGAAGCTCGATCCAGACGGAAAAAAGTTTTGGGACTTCAGTTGGCATGAGATAGGAATGTATGATCTCCCGGCGATGATCGATTATGTACTCAAGACTACGGGTTTCAAAAAAATTCAATATGCGGGTCACTCTCAGGTAACCAGAAATTATAGAAAACCCTAAGTCATGCAAACTTTTAAAATATTTTCCAAAATAATATCATACGCATATCTTTAAAGGGTTGTACGGCCTTCTTCGTTATGTGCTCTCGACGGCCAGAATACAATAAGAAGGTCATCATGATGCAAGCGATGGCACCAGCTGTTTATGCCACAGAGACAGAGGAGCATCCATACATTCGAGCTATCAGCTTATATTTCCGTGTGAGTATGAAAAATTTAAATTTAAATTGAAGAAATTAGCATCAGTCATAAAAGCAAATGTAAATTTTACTTTTTTACAGAGTTTGGTGGGAAGTTCGGTTACTGAAATGTTTAATGGCGAATTTCGGTTTCTCTGTCGCATGACGGAGGAAACAGAGCGACTTTGCATCGAAGCTGTATTCGGAATAGTAGGAAGAAATTGGGATGAATTTAATAGGGTAGAATATCAATCATTTAAATTTTTATTTTTTCAAATATTTTTCTATCTACCGCCAACATATGATTAACGGTAAAATTCCTGTAAACATTTTAAGTAACAGTGTTATTTTTCCTTTCTTCCAGAAAATGTTTCCCGTCATTTTGGGCCACTATCCCGCAGGTGTCGCTGCCAAACAAGTGAAGCATTTCATACAAGTCATCAAAAATGGACGTTTCGCTCCCTACAGCTACAGTAGCAACAAGAATTTGGCAATCTACAAAGAGCATATACCACCACGCTACAATCTTTCACTGGTCACGGTGCCTACATATGTATATTACTCAACCAACGATTTACTCTGCCATCCCGAAGATGTTGAGGCGATGTATAAGGACCTTGGAAATCCAATTGGTAAATACTTAATACCAATGCCGGAGTTCAATCACATGGATTTCCTGTGGGCGATGAATGTACGAAAGCTGGTCTATGCGCGCATGCTACGAGTGTTGGGCAAAATTAAGGATCACAAAAAGGCGAATAACCCGGCAAGCGCAGTCATCGTGAATAGTGTTCAGCAGAGCAGGGAAAGGCGGAGGAGAAGATGATACTAGAAACCATTTAGCGCTACCTTTAAATGTAGAGATGTACATATATACGAGTATGTTCGTATGTTAGGGATTCCATTGAAACTCTAGTATTTATTCGTAGTTATTTTAATATTTATTTGTTGTATATTTAAGTAAAATATATAATTTAGTACTAAATTATTGTATATGTATTTCAGTTTACGGTGTAAGAACTTAAAAAAAGTAGCGAAAAGCAAATATAAAAAATTAATTTAAAATTCAGACAATCCAATCAAAATCATTTTTTGTAACAAGTTGGGAAGCAGACACCACGTAAAAAGCAAGCTCAATTAAAAAAAGACTCCGACCATTTCCAATATCGATGACGCCCACCAAAAATTTCCTTTAGACGACGAATTGAACGTGTTCATTATTAGGGTAGTGTCGCTGCCTAGTCAGTTGATGTCCTCGGAGATGTATATCATCGCCGTGGTACAGCTTTCTCGAATTCGCGCTGGAAAAAGACTCTGAGTCCGGTCATTCACCATGATAGACGTACGTCTAGCAACAACCCGCATCAAACATATCGCTGATTAGCGACCAAGATCCGACGGAAGAGAAAATCACTGTGCCCTAAGATCACTTCAATAAATAATGTGCTTTTGGCGCATTGGTGTAATAATTTAGCCTCCAAGGCGAAACCTGCGGTCTGAAACTGATCAACTTCGATGGTGCCTCGCCTCGGCAAATTCAGCAATTTTGTACTCTATGAAAAGATAGAGCTACTTACAGGAGGTTTGAAGACCTGAGCATAATCATATAGGAACCAAGGAGATAATCTGGTATGTTGATGTTTTTTTTTTTCAACAAATGGATGAACCTACAGTTTATGCTGAGCCGCCTCCGAACGGCTGATGGTTTTTTCATATCAGAAATACACTCGTAGGGGTTTATATTCCCTGCCGAGGGGCGAGCGCAATTAGAAAATTTTACTTAATTTTATATTTAAATTAATTTTCTATAACTTTTGTATCTTGGTTGTACCGGCCTTCCGAATGCCGAACGACAGCGCTCAATGCCAACCACTCGGTTACTGCGGCCGGCAGACCATCGTTTACTGGTTGAGATATTTCAGCATGGTAGTGAAGAGCTGTCAATGGCAATGCATAAGCATCTATGCAGAATATGATAGGGCGAAATTGTATCCGACGATTGGCACCTGAATGCCTTCTGCTCATTCTCTTACAAAACGTATCGCAGAGTTATTATCGTGGAATTAGCATTCCGATTATGTTCATTCTGGCATTTTGTCCAAAATCACTAAGCCCACACTCAACGAACTGATCAAGCCTCATAACTGTGGGACCAGATCTAGTAGATCCATCATTTACCAGCCTTAACATCAACTCACTCTACCTCTTCATCAATTTCACAGCGGCCTTCAACAGCGAATGCGGTAAACAATGGACCGATAGGCTGTATGAGATGCAGTAAGGGATTGACATATTTTTCCAACGAGAGGAGAGGCCAACAGTTTATTCTCAGCCGCCTCCAACCGGTCGATGGATTTTAATGAAGAGCTTTATATTTCAAGTAATAAATACACTCGGAGAGGTTAACATTTCGTGCTAAGGGGCTGCAGCAATTAGGAAAATGTGGATACTATAATTTTGGATATTAGTCCCAACCCTGGTCGAAATGCTAACCATTCGACTATCGCGGCCGCGGGATTGACATAATTGAGCAAAATAGCAGACATGGATTTTGCTGGTTAGATCATGTCATCATCATAGACAGAAACACTTTAACCCCTCAGGCGAATGGAGGATAACAGCACGGCCACCACTCCGTTGGAGGGATGAGGTGCAAAGGGACCTTGTTTGACTTGCTGTCCCCAATTGTTGCCGATCCGCTGGTTCTTCCAGCCAAATACAAACACGTGAACCCTAACTATTTGAAAAAGAAAAAATCCAAAATTTTAAATTTAATGGAATAATGCTTGGGGCTGCATTTCTGACATACATACGTGTATATGCCCTTTTCTCTTCTTCAGTAATTTAAACTACATAAGTAAAATGCCTTAAAATGCCGCTCTTAATTCTCAGTTGCAACAAACAACACGTTCGGTAAACCGTTGTGTTGCAAATAAAGTCAAATTATTTATTTATAAACCGTGGCAGAAGCACCAACTGCAGCATTCACATGAGATATTTACTATTAATACATACATATGTACATACATACATATTTGAATATGTGTAAGAAACACTGGGGAAGCAGAAGTTGTTAAGAATAATTATGTGTTTGAAGTGAAAGTGCGTGAGATGCATTTTGTAATATCAAAACACTTCTTGCCTTACGGACGAAATAGTTGGAACACTACACGACAGCAGAACGTGACAGGAAGAGTTTGGCTAAAAGATCGTTTGCGAAATACTCCCATTAAGAATGCGAATTTAGAAGCGATGACTGCGTGAATTGGGTGCCTTATGAATTAAAGCCAAGAGACGTCGAACGTCGATTCTGCATGTCGGAAATGTTGCTTCAAGGCCACCAAAAGAAATAATTTTTGCATCGAATTGTCACTGGCGATGAAAAATGGATTCATTATTCAAAGCGCAAGAGATCGTATGTGAAGCACGGCCAAGCATCGACATCCACGGCAAAGCCGAATATCCATGGTGCCAAGGTTATGCTATGTATTTGGTGGGACCACAAGGGTGTGCTCTATAATGAGCTATTAAAATCGGGTCAGACGATCAGACGAAAAAAATTGATTCGTTTGAAAAAGGCCATCGTGAAAAAACGACCAGAATATGCGACCAAACACAAATCAATAATTTTTCATTATGACAACGCTCGGCCACATGTTGGAAAACTGTGAACTAAAACTGAAAAAAGTTCTACCTCACCCGTCTTATAGCCCAGACATAAAACCTTCCGATTACCACTTGTTCAGATCAATGCGGAATGCCCTCACAGGACACACCGTACGCTTCACTTCAGAACAGGGTATCAGAAATTGGATCGGTTAGTCGTACTGTCGTCATCAAAATGTGCTAGCTTAAGGCAATATAAGAGGAAACTGTGAGGAACGAAATGAGATGAAATATACTTACTGCCTGCTAAATTCCTGTAAGTACTAACGTTCATTATATATACATATATTTCAAGATTCGTAGCTTGTTAACTTTTCTTTTTATAATTCAGTTTTTAATATCGTTTCAGTTTCACATGTATTGTACTTTACATACCCTTTTGCATCTTCACTGCTTAAAGTGGCTATTTATTTGAAAAATTACGTCTTTACTTACATACAAGGTGCGTTCCAAAGTAAATAGGACTTTGTGAATCTAGCGCCCTCTAGTGGTGCCATATATATGTTGAGTGCGTTAGAATCTGCTAGGGCTTTGTGAATCTAGCGCCCTCTAGTGGTGCCATCTATATGTTGATTGCGTTAGAATCTGCTATCCTTTATAGAAAAAATTTCATGACATATCATCTATTGGAAGTGAAGTTATTGCGTTTTAAGTTACAGTATGTTTTTGTCAACGGTGCGAAAATGAACTTCGAACCAAGACCCAAATTGACTGACAACCACAAACTGTTTAGAACTCAACATTCGAAGGAGATCATTAAAGAGGCAAAAAAAGATCCGAAAGATTATGACTGGTGACGAAACGTGTGGTGTTCTCATTATGATCTCGAAACGCAACGCCAGAGTGCTGAATGGAAGGCGCCGGACGAGCCGAAACCCATGTTTCCAAGGGTATTATCCACAAAGAATTTGTTTCACCCGGCCAAATTTAACAACCAACCACTCGCCGTATTCATCTGATATGGCACCGTGCAACTTCTACCTTTTCGGAAAAATGCATTTGCCGATAAAAGGAAAGCGTTATGCAGACGTGGAGGCCATTCAAAAGGCCGATAAAACCATTTGTTTTGTCTCTTTTTTAAAGTCCTGTTTACTTTGGAACGCACTGTTCAATTGGAATTCTTGGCTGCGTAGATATCATTCCTGCGAGAACACGAAAGTCCATCATGCACCGAAGAATGCAAACAAAATCGAGTCGAACTCGATTCTAAGTAGCGACTGAATTTTTTTTAATTCTGTTAATAGATATATAAGCTCGAAAATACCAAGTGAAACCAGCTCGTTCTCCACCATATCATTCCAGCGGAGTGGAGGTCTTCCCTTCCTCTACTTCCACTGGGTGGGTCCTGCATCGAAAACATTCAAAGCTGGACCAGTACTCGTTTAGTACCAGACCAATTCGCTTCGTTTCCTTATCCAGTTTGGAGAATGCAGAACCCAAGGTACGGTGGTTGACGCCAATGATATCGATGTCATCGGCGTATGCCCGCAGGTGTACACTTATATAGAAGATTGTACCTTCTTTATTCAGTTCTGCAGCAATAAATTAATGAAGCCACACGATACGGAAACACATAGTCTGAAACCTCGTGTAACTAATGGAGTCTCTTCCCGACGAGAAATTTTAGTAAATAAGTAATTTTTGAAGAAAAATTAAGCTAATTCAACAGACCCCGTATATCTTAAATTAGAATTTTGATGTCTGCCGCATTATAAACTAATGCTAATTTAAAAAATTACAGGCTCATATCTAAACTATCGACTTATTCGAAACTTATCGAGAAAGTAGTCAAGGAAAAAATGTCTTCCGGCCGCATCAGCATGGTTTTCTTAGCGGTTATAATGTTATCAATTAAGAAGGGATACCAAAGGGATGTACGACAGCTTGAGTGCCTAGGTATAAACTCTTCTTCCCTACCGGGGTTAGATCATATATCCCCAACAGATTATCTTTTGTTAAAATTCAGGGTGCTCCATATTTAATGATGTATGTAAACATTGAATAACTTTGAACAAAAAACAACCGATTTCTACAACTGATGTATTTTTATTCAGTTTTTTGAACTAGTTTTTGAAAACAATATCAATCAAGTTGCTACCTTTATTGGCAATTACAAAATGACTCCTTTTTTCTGCGTTTGCCATTACCTTTCCGAGCATCATGCGCTGTTACTTTTTCAAAACATATTTGATGCAATCGCTCGGTTGGTAAAGCTTCAGCGCTTACATACCGACAAAAAAGTTGGTGCACCCTGTAAAGAATACCATATACCCTTGCGGCCACTTTTGGAGTATC